GCTTGCCAGGCAGGCGCTTATGCCACTGAGCTATATCCCCAAGCCCCCTGCCTTTTTTTTTAAGGGGATTGTTTTCACTGGAGATCTCATGAATGAACAATAATAGTATATAACTATTGAAAGGGAAGCAAACACAGCTCTTACACCATTTGTTTTCTGGTACCGGGAACTGAACTCAGGACCTTGTGCTTGCCAGCCAGGCGCGGTGCCGCTGAGCTATATCCCTGGCCCAAACATGGCCCTTATAAAAGAACTGCTGAAAGGTGACCACTGTAGATCGGTCTGCCCTCTGAAGCAGAGGCCCCAGAGCTCAGACTCATCCTACCAGTTAGTCCAACAGGAATGAGAGGACTCTGCCTTTTCCCTCTGGCCAGAAAGTCATCTCCATGGGGGAGCCCTGGGTAATCATGACTATGGAGGAACAAGAAAACAGCCTGTTGCTAGACACAAGTGCAAGTCTCTTGGTCCTTCTTTTCAATCCTGGCCTTCCTTCCAGCCGTCACACCTCAGTGACGGGAGTCACTGGTGAGGACGTAATATGCTATTTTTGACAACCATTAGGCTGTAACTACTTGTTAGATCCTTCTTGCGTATCTCTGTCTTCCTGAGAAACCACTTTGAAAATACCACCATGTATTACAGCAGCCATTGATATTTTCCTACTAATCTATCCATAACTCTGTAATGTTTGTATTGTTCCTATCCTATTTTGTAAATGGATGCATGTTTATTATTATGTGTTTCCTATAACAACCATTAAGAATAATTAATGATCATTCAATAGGTCAAAAAAATAAATAAATAAAAGAACTGCTGATAAAAGAACTGCTGAAAGTGTCAGTAAAGAAAGATGTGAGGAACAATTTTTATGTGACTATCATATGATGAACCCTAGTTCTTACCTGACACTGACACTGTTATTAGCCCCACCACAACTTCTATGAGATGAGCATAGTATATTTAAATGTAGGTACAAAACCAGAATGATGTAGCATACTTACACACTACAAGAAGCCTGAACTAAGAATAAGAATCCTTTGAATATTTTCAGAGGGGCTAGGACTCAGGTAGATGCTGAAAGGCAAAGTAAATTCTTGGTGAACACTACTCACTGATCTTCTGTTCCAAAAAACTTCACAAAGAAGCATTTCTTTCCACGTGGTTTCTTCAAGTCCTTGGGTGGATTCACAATCTAAAGGATAAAAGGTGAAACAAAGGTTTGATGACAACACAGCAGCCAATTAGAAAAGTACTTTTCCACAGCTTTAAGTTGGTAAAAATGAAAGAAAGAAAGAAAGAAAAAAAAGAAAGAAAAGAAAAGACAAGGAAAGGAAAGGAACCAACAAAGACCTAATATCTGACCTGGCACTTTTCTTGAGATGTGTAAAATGTGCAAGCATTCTACAAGTTCCCTGAGCTAACATGTAGCAATCTTCAGTGGATACAATATTCCTTTTACTGTATGGCTCCTTTTTTTTTTTTTGTCTTTTTGAGACAGGGTGTCACTATGCAGTTCAGGCTGGCCTTGAGCTCACTTTGTAGCCCAGGCTGGTCTCGAACTTGCAACGATCCTCTCGCCTCAGTGCTGGGATTACAGGCATGCGCCATCATGTCCTGCTTGTAGGGCTTCTCTTATACAAGTAGTTAAAACTAAAATCAACATTTTCCTCCAGTGTGAATGTCATCAGTGAAGACATGTAGAGGACATTCTTCAAAATACTTCTGGTATGGGAAGAGACAAAACAAGAAATAGTGAAAATAAAGGACAACTGAGGCACAGAAAACATCACACTGCAGAGTCTAAAGACATTTTCTAGATTCCTAGCAAGAATATAAAAACAACATTTGGAGAGTTAGGATGGATCACCTGATGCAAAATCTGGAATGCCAACGTCTGCAAAAATGCTCTGGAGCAGCACATATGGCAACAGGGGAAGATTTAAACTTAGTTGGGACAAAAATACTTTGGCTTTTCACTAACCTACATTTAGACTTTTCTCCTCTTGGAGAATTAATTTTCTTCTTTCATTAGATTTAAGCATAAAACTGAATTCAAATTAGGCTTGAGTTCTACAGTTAAAAATTTCACAAACTGTCTCTGATTCAAGAAATAAGTGATTACTTCAGATTAAATGATCTGGTTTCTACTTCTAAAGTAACTGATACTACAAAACAAATAACAACTCCCCAAAACTCCAGAGTTGTCTAAATGTGCCCAGTTTAAGTGCTAGAAACAGGGGTCTTCCATTTCCCACTTCCTCAAACCCAACTTCTGACAGGCCTCCTTTAGTAGCAAGACACTCACCTTTCCAGGCCAAGGAGGATACCTGCCGAGTTTCCCCCTAGAGAAAACACAGAGTCAGAACTCGTCCTGGAAAAGCCAGTCCATCTCCTTCAACCCACTCAGTAAGCAATTTATACTCCTAAACCTCTTCGGGCACCATCGAGGATCAGAACAAAAGCTGGCAAACTAGAGTTCTTAATCTGGCTTCCACAGCTGGAGCCGGGACCCTCAGACATGGAATGCAAAATTCATAGTGCGTGCGTTGAGGTCTGTGCATTCTTCTGCTGACATGTAATACAGAACAACAAGACCGTCAAGAGTCATTTGCCTGGAGCCTCCCAGTGACTGGGTGGGAGAATTCCCTCTGTAAACACAGACTTCCCCTAAGATCAGCCCAGCTTTGACAAGTGCTAATGGAAGCCTTCCTCGCGGTCAAGAGACAAACTACGCAGTTCAAGAAAGGCGACGACTGTCAGTCTCGGTTCTGGCGGTTGTCAGGGACACAGGAGCAGACCAAGAGACGCACCCCAAGGCGGCACTGGTCACTGCCAAGCCATTGGTTGTAAAGGAGAAGTCCCCCCTCCGTTTCCTCACCAGGCAGTGCCAACAATCTGGTTTCGACACCCCCGGCCGAGCTGCCCGCACTGGTCGGTGTCATCGCAACGCGGGTGTTTAGGGACCTGCCCCGGCGCGATGGCCCCGCGGGTTCCCCAGTTCTCCTGGTTTCCCGAGAGTCCCAGCGAGACCCGAGGGACTCGGGGTCTTCCAGAGCCGGACGGCGCCAGAGGCTCCCTCCGCGGTGACCGCTGGAGTCCGGGCCCCCAACGCAGCCCTCCCGAGGCGGCCTCGGGGATCACAGCCGGGTCTGCCACGGCCACCCTCGGCCTCAGTCCCCCGGGGCCGGACTGCCCCTTCCGCCCAGCGCCGCTTGTAGCGCCGACACTTCGTCTTCCCCTTTCCACGGCCTGGAGCGCACAGAAAGGCAGCTCTGAGGCTGGCCGCGAAACCCGCGCCCTGGGGCACAGATCCGTTGCGCATCTCGCTTGGCCCGGGCCGCTTACACTCACCACACCAAGTCGCCGAGCCGCAGACTCACAGCCGCCATCTTACCACCCAACCACCGCCGCCGCACAGGCCGCCGGGAACTTCGCGTCGCTCGGGTGCCGCCCATTGGAGTGGGCCCGTCCACGTGACGGGGCCCGGCTGTCATCAGCCTTGCCGCTGCTCAGACGTCAGCGCGCCCGCGGGTGTTCATTTGCTGGCGCGGCAGCACGTGACTCGGGCGCCGCGGTCTCCGCGCGCCGGAGCTCCGAGACTCCTGGCTCGTTCCCCCTCCCTCCGGCTCGTGACAACGAAGCGTCTAGGGTCTGAGGCTGCGGCGGCGGCGGCGGCGGCGGCGGCGGCGGCGACGGTGCGGCCGGCCCAGAGCAGAAGAGAGCTGGCTTCGCCGCCCGCCCCGCCCCCGGACGCTGGACTCAGTTCCCTTCCCCTTCGTCGCTTCCGTTAGTTGGGCGAGGGCCCGGGGCCGTTCCCGAGCCTGAGGCACCGGCGGGTCTCGTCGCTGCGTGCGGGCGCTCCCCTGACGGACCTCGGCGCGGCCTGAAACCAGCCTCCTTGCGATCCTGCTGCCCCGCGCCCGGCGAGACCCGCTCAGCCGCAGCCCGGAAGACCCCGGATCCCCGCTGCCCGCGCCCCAGGGCTGGGACGCCGCGCTCGCTCGCGCCCGCCGCTGGCTTCCTTGGAGCGCCCTCTCGACGGCCACCTCTCGGGGCGGCGCGCACACTGGGGCCGGGGCGCTCGCTGGCCGAGTTGCTTGTTGGACGTGGAGTTGGCATTTGTCCGCTTCCTTCTGGGCGGGCGCGCGGCGCGGCTGACGAGTCCCCGGGGCGGGGACACGGCCATGGGCCGGAGCACGGGCCGGGCGGCCGCCCGCGCGCAGGGCTTGGGAGCCGGCCGCTAGCCGCGCGGCAGCCCAAAGTCCGGGCCGGCATGAGGACCGTCGCGGGGGGACATCTGCGGCCCGCGTGGGCGCTGGGGACAAAGGTGCGTGTCGTTGTCCGGCTGGGTTCCTGCGTTAGCTTTGCTGTGGTCTGACACTTTCCGAGAAGTTGTGACAGCAGGAAGACAGATGTCAGTGTAGCGGGAGCTGTTAGCTGCCATGGAGAAGGACGCCTGCTCAAACTTGTGTGACCAGGCGGAAGCTCGACACTTTCCTAAAGATCCACCCCCAGTCACAGACTCCGGGAAGTCCGAATCGAGGGCTGCCCTCAAACTAGATTCTTAAGTCACCTGCTTGACAAGGTGGTTGTAAGGGGAGGGGCTTTTGGTGAGATCAGTTTCCCTTGAATTACGTGCAGGACCTAGCGTTTACAGTGTGCATGTTCTTTTAAACACAAACTAATTGAGTAGTATATTTAAAGTTGGGGAAATTAGGGGAAATAATTGTAAAACTCAAACACGTTCTTAATTTAGAAATTCTTAATTTTTGAGGAATTAAAGGATATTGTAATGACTTGATGAAAAGTAGGAATCCAAATATTTACACTTTACCTAGAGGCATTCCCTTTAAAGTCGGGAACACGGCAAAGGATATATTGTCTAATGACCTGGAAGTTCTAGCCAATGTAATAAGACATGAATGAAACAAGAACCAGTATTATTTTTCAGAAAACGATAATTCTTACTTTTGTTGATTGGAAGACTTATTAAAACATAAGAGAAAACAAATCATTCAGTAAATGGGCTAATTACAAAATTAGCATGCATGTTAGTTTTTCTTTCACCAGTAATCAGCTTGAAAATAGTGTGGTTAGAAAGGTTATACAATATTTAAAAACACAAAAGTATACACAATTCTTGGGAATAACAAGAGATGCAAAGGAGACTAGCAATTTTTGCCTAACCAGTTGAGGTTTTTTAAGAGGGATATTTTTGTGCGCAGAATACTAAACATACTCAATTCATTAAAGTTGAGTACTTAAAAATTTAGCTATTTTTAAGACTTTTAAATTGTACTCATAAATGTTTTATTTACAAATCTCAGAATGTTTATGTAAAAACAGAAGTGCTTGATCTTTGACAGGTTCGATTAAGGCACCACTTGAACAGATTAAATTCCTTTAAACAATTGACTTCACTAGGTTGATCAAATTCCCTTAAGGGTTTTAAACTGCATTTAATGTTTATGGTTTTTTTTCTCTAATGCTTCAAACTTCATGAAAAATAGTAAAAAAATTTTAAGAATTTAAATTCAAGCTGGGCATGGTGGCATACACCTGTAATCCCAGCACTCATGAAGCTGAGACAGGAGGGTCTTTGCAAGTTGGAGAGCAGCCTAGGCTACAAAGTGAACTCAAGGCGGGCTTGAACTGCATAGCGAGTCACTGTCTCAAAAAGACAAAAAAAAAAAAAACAAAAAAACAACTTACACTCTCCTAAATCTAATAAACATGTAAATGTAAGTCAGGTTCTTTTAAACACGTAAATATTTTAGAATTTAAGTATGTTTTCTTAAAGATTTCAGATTAAAATTGTATGCCTAGTATGTCATACTTTAATGTATCTGATTCTCTTAAATGTTTCAAATGACTTAGAACAAATAGTATCTTGTGATGGCTATAAAATATCTTCAAATCTGACTCCTAAGTGTTAGTATATTGTAGTTTGGGTTACTTTGTCTTCTGGTTCAATTTTTGTACATCTCAGGTTTTCATAACTAAGAGTAGGACCTTTACCTGGTAGGTGGGTTAAAGTTACAGTCTCTAAAACTTGGGACTGAGATAGGTTATATTTTTAAATTACTGGCAGCACAGGGCCATTTGGCTGTAGTTGCTATTTCCAAGACTGCCTTCCTTTATCCTATTGAACAACTTGTGGATTTCCCTTTTTAGATACTGTGCCTGCTCCCTCAGAGTGGGACCTATAAGCCTTCACATTTCAGGTGGGATTTACTATTTTCACAACCCAATGCATCACAAATGTCCTGAGTGCATTGGAGGTTTGTTTTAGGGGACTCTCAACGTCTTAGTGCAGTTGGTAAGTGGTCTTTATACTAGCCGGCATGTTTTGCTGCTAATCTGTTTACTGCCTGATAAAAATGACTTTAATTTCATTTTTATATTTTTTACTCATCAGATCTTAGATTACAGTTTTATGGTTATAAGGAAAAGACTGAATATCGGATATGTACTAACATCTGTACATATATGGTATTTACATTATACACATCTTCTTGAATTCATATTTGTGATTCACTTTCAAAATGTGGTTGAGATTTTTGGGGAAACTTGCTAAATTGATTTGGTAATGGATCTGAAATAAACTGGGAAAGCCAAATACTATTTTTAAAAGGAGAAATAATGAAGATGAACTTTCAGTTTAAAATACTAAAAGATCCTATAGAACTTTTCAAAACTGCAGCACTGATTGAGGAATCTCTAGGTACTAGAATAATGTAACAGATGGTTTTCAGAAATAGACTTCACATATCTAGACATTAGTTTGATACATGCTGTATCAGCAGGGAAAGGAAGGCTAGTGATTGGTGTTGGAGAGAAACCCAAGTTAGAACCTGCCCTCATATCTTGTAGCATAGTAAGCTCAAATTGAATTAAAGTGTTAAATGTAAAAACAAAAATCTATAAATACCTTGTAGGTGATTTCTTATTTAAATCTGATTGAGAAGGGCATTCTAGGCATAAAGAAATGGGAGGAGTCGTATGGGAGAAGAGCCTAGTTGCAGTCCTTTTTTGACTTAAACCATGGGGTACAGGGCAATTTTCACATAGTTAAGAAAAATATATATTTAGAATGACTATTAAGTAAAAAAACAATAAATGGTAATAAGAATAGATTTAATAGTGGAGTCTTATCAACAGTGAAATTAATTTAAATCTATGGGCTGGGGATATAGTTCACTGGAACCGTACTTGCTTAGCATGTGCGAGGCTGTGGGTTCTAGCGTCAGCACCCTTCTCCCAAAATTAAATCTGTATGATAGAATAGGAAAATGTTTTTATCATCTTGGTTTGACTTGGCCCTTCTTTTCAATGTTAACAGAAGCCATGCAGTGACACCTGCTAAGACTTGTTGGTAGCCATGTCGGAGCCCCACAGGGTCCAGTTCACCTCTCTCCCAGGTTCTCTGAATCCTGCACTTTTGAAGAAGTCTCGGAAAGAGGAGGTTGGGGGAGCAGAGCAGCATCAGGACTGTGAGCCAGCTGCAGCCGCTGTTCGGATTACTCTTACCCTCTTTGAACCAGATCACAAACGCTGCCCAGAGTTCTTCTACCCAGAGTTGGTGAAGAATATACGAGGGAAGGTGAAAGGCCTTCAGCCTGGAGACAAGGTACACTCCAGTATACCCAAGTTGCCCTGAAACTTGCCATGTAGGTGTCAGCATGTACACATGGGCTTTTATAGTAAGGAAGTGAGACTAGAGAGGCTTAGGCTGCTGTAAGATCATGTAACTCATCCAAAGCAAGCATGTGGTTAGCTGGTCTTGCCACTGGGCACAAAGGGAGAGAATTCTTTATAAAATGATTATTTTGACTTATGCTAGAGAAAAATGTGTAGCTCATCCAAGACTAATTAATATTGAGCCAGGTGTGGTGATAAATACCTGTAATCCCACACTTGGGAGGCTGAGGCAGGAGAATTGCTGCAAGTTCAAGGGCTACATAGCAAGACCCTGAATCATTGTAGGTATACTCTACCATGTTAAGATAATATAATCTAGACTGTGGGTATAACTCAGTACTAGACTCAGCTCTTGTGTAGCATGTGGGAGGCCCTGGCTTCAATCCCCAGAATGGAGGGGGTTGGTGGGGAAGAAAGAGGGGGAGGGGCAAGGAGAAAATGAATGAATAATATAATGTGATATATTTGTGCATTGATTCATTTAGCATATATTCCTTACAATGTGAGGCACTGTGCTAGACACCGTGGACTATGTGAAGAGGGGAAGATGGTCTCCTAGCCTCAAAGGAACTTGCAATCTTGTAGATGTTTTAGGAGAATTGTACCAGTGCAGGTAACAGAAGTTACAATGTGATTATTGTTTAAGTCAGCTACAAATACAGACCAGAATGCTTGGGCAGAGGCGAGCTTATAGTTGAGGATGCTCTGTTCAGACAGAGCTGGACCTTCATATAGTTAAGAAAAATAGTCATTATTGTTACTTTTTTTTTTTTCCTCCTGTACTGGGGAAAGTACCAGGGCCTCATGCATGCTAGGCAAGTGCTCCACTATTGAGCTACATCCCTAGCAAGTTATTGGAAGATTACTGTTTATAAGGTATAAAGGAATATA